AACTTTTCGTTAATCATGAATTTATGTAACTTCCTTTCAGGGGACAGGTACTCCAGCTAGTTAAAAATATGTTTAAAACTAAAGATGCTCTACTTATGCGTATGCGCTCGTGGATCATATATAAATACATTCGTGGTAGCTGTAAAGCTACCTATATTAGTAAAACTACACATTACTTACAAATAGGTGCACACTAGCACATGGGAATTTCAGCTACAAGCAGATATAAGCTAGCTAATCCACCCTACTCTTGTATCGGATTTCACTGTGAGAATAACAACCACCCCATACTTCTTGAAAAATTTAAAATTCTCGACTCCGAAACCACAGATCACGAAATCTTTATTAAAGAAAAGCCTCTCCATTTTCAATGATAACCCAACACTAAATAATAACATTAACTCTTCCCTGTTGTCATTAATGTAATCAATTTCTGGTTCTCAATGTTTTTATTTGATGTTTGTTACCATTTTAAAGATATTGTTTATACTTATATCCGAGCCTTTCTCTTAACAATGTTGTTTATTAAACATGTGTATGCCGCACGTTTTATTGTTCATTCCATTATATAGTTACCCTCTAAATCTGTTCTTTCTAAACTTCTAATTAAATAGGAAAACTCGCTCAATGCTAATGTTGTTTGAATATGAACTAACTTTATTTGATATTTTAACGCTGATGATTGAATTTAAGGAAATTCGGAAACGTCCGCATTAAAAATGTTTTTTGGTATTACAGTGTTTTTAATATTTATTATTTGCTTTCTATATATGAAATAATGGTTCATAAAGTTACTTAAAGTTTCAGACTTACGTATGATTGGTCATTAGAATAATCTAGTCATTTATTGTAAAGTTTTACTACTTTGATGTCATCAATGAAAATATTGAACTGTTTACTTTTTCATCATAGTTAAATAAAAAATATCTACTGTCTTTCATGTATACATGATTGTTTCATAACACACAGATTCAATTTCTTTTTATTATACATTTTTTTAGTACACGCACAAAATATTTATCCAGATTTCAACTTTCCAGGTGAATGATAGACAATTGCTACCTTTACAATGACGATTGTTATCTTAAATGACATATTATGCCACTTTTAACATTACTGTTTTAATAATAATTGTATTGTTGAAAGTATTTTGTAGTTAAACTTTCAAATAAGATGAATGCTATCTAAAGTAACCAACAGAAAATAGGAGTTTCACACATGGTCTTATCAGTTGTACAGAGTGAAACTTTGTTCCAGTTAAAAAAAAGTTATTTTTAATATTTAATTTCAGAAAATAAAGAGTATTTCAAAATAAATAAAGATTAAAGGTGTTTTTAACTAGTGTTTAAATATAAATTTTAAACCTTAAATTAATTTACAAAAAGTTTGATGAAAAATATTTTCATTTATCCATATCAAGAATTAATTCCTAGTTTTGTCTGTATTGAAAGTTTCCCCATTTTATGATTTACGGGGTCAATGTTCAAGTGTATTTCAGTGAATTTTTCAAAAACTGACAGATTGCTCTCTTTTGGTTCAAATACTTTGAAAACATTCCTGGTAAACTGAACATAGAATACTATATTTATAATGTGTTCTAGTGTTTGTATATATTAAGCCACTGTGCATATAAATTGCTACTTACCTAATATAACGTACTGAATACTCTTTTTTAGTCTGTGCTAGTTTTCTTTATTACAAAATCTACAAATGAGAACAAGTTATGTAGGTTTACCTGCCAAGGATTTACATAAAACTCAATAGTGAAACAGGTAAAGAGTGGACACATATATTACCTTCCACATAACAGTCTTAAAATTTCTATTTGAGCAAAATCTAACTATTAGGTTTTTGGTTCAAGAGACTGGCTATGTTGATTCGACCGCTACTTAAGTTGTGTATCATTTCTGTTATGTTTTTATGACGATCCAGCTGTTCATTAAGGCCCTGAACAACATTCGTTTTTTCTTGTATAACTGCCTCATGCTGGTTACATAACAACTCCAGTGATGACACCTGAGATATAGTAAGAAACAATTACAGTTATATAATTTTGTAATTTTCAAAACACAGTGAAGGAAAAAAGGACCTAAAATATTCCTAAAGATTCACTTTCTCTCATATGTAAGTTTAATCGAGTAAATTAAAAGTACACAACAGCTAAAATATCAAATACATTATGCTACAAGTGTAAGATATCTTTATTCAAAATAAACTTCTTTATCAGTGACCAAGAACAATTATATTTTTGAAGTATGATTAATGATTTGCGATTTGTCAGTGACAGATCTTGCAAGCCAGTAGCTCTACCTTCACAGAAAAATCAGTTTTTTTTTATCATGATAAAAAATAAACACGTTGTTATTGTTTGTTCTGTTGTTAAGCACAAAGCTAAACAATGGGCTATCAAAACTCAAATTTTAGCATTAAAAGCCCTCAGTTTCACTGCTGAGCCACCAGGAGGCATTTGCTGTTAAAAGTAAGAACAATAGCTATTCTAATATGGGTAACTTGAAAATTATTTTTTAAAACAGAGAAGCAAATTTGTATTGTTCAGTACATTGTTTCTGATTAAGACTGGTAAGAGGGCTGAAAGCTCATGATTAAAGAAAAAGTATTTAACATAGAGAATAGTAACTTGAAAAATAGTTGATGATTGACCACACACTATTAGAAATATTCTTTTTTTAAAACAGTATCTGTAGAATTAAAGAAAAAAGTAAATGTTTTGAGAAGGTATCTCATGATCATCATGTGTAGTACTAACCATAAATAGGACAGTTACACTTAAAAACTTAACAGTTAAAAAATCAAACAAATATAATCAATAATTTAGTGAGATCAGACTCGTTTTTTAAGAAGGAAAAATGGACAGTGAAGATGCTTATTTAAGAATGGTCTTCATTCAGTAGTAATAATATTTCTTTGTCTTATGTTTTTAAACATTTGTTCTTTGATTACAGTTACTAAAAATTTTTCAAAGTTGAGTTTATTTAAATATTAAAAAATAAATTTTTTTCTTCTGTCACCAATATATGAAGCAAAACATTGACATTCTGTATGATAGATTATTACTCTTTGGAAAGGTCATATATTTTTTGATAACAAACAATAGATCAAAAGAAAAACACCAAAGAAAAGAAGAATAACTTAAGAGTATTGATATTTAATATATTAGATATTAGCTAAATCAACATGGAATAACTCTCTCATAGAAATTGGAAAACAAAATACCACCATGATTATTGGATAAATTATCATCATAGACCATACAGTGTTAACAGGGGGGAGGGGAGAGTTAGCATTGTATATGTAGTATCAGAAAATGTTATTGCAAATGTTACGACAGTAGCTAGTATTTAAAAAAAAACTATCAAAATAACCTTGGCTCTAACAAAAACTTGTTTAAACTGAAGTATGCCTAAGGTCGGAACATTGCAAAATAAATCCATTTAGTAAGAGTGTAAAAAGCATTTTTATATATTTTTTGTTGTTTAATTCTATTAATGAATTTCACTCTTTAAAAGAGCACTATCTTTGATTGATAAAGACTTTACCTCTTGTTGAAGTTTAGCCTTTTCTTTTTCTACTGATTGCATCTTCTTTTGAAGGGTGTCTCTTTCATTTTCTAGTTCTGAATATTCCTCTTCTTTCTTCTGCAGAGCCTCTTCTGACTTCTGAAGTGTACGGTTTAGTTCTAAAAATTTTCAAGAAAAAGCATTTCAGAGTAATTCTATGAAAATAATATTCACCAATTTTCATACAGGACAGGACTGATTGTTTATGATAAGATTATATAGTTAATGGGTATAAGTTACACTACTTAGAAGCAGCTAAATGTATAATGTTATGAGCACTAGTATTAAAACACTTCTTCATTTTCAAAAAATCTTATGAACACCACTAAAAAATCATGCTTAAAAATTTGAAACATTATTTTATGAAAAAATACACAACTCAATTTAAATTTGTTTACATAACTAAATTTTTAAAAAATAAGATAAACATTAAAGACAGATGGAATTGATATAGATAACATAAGCTTATAAACACGTTTGGCCTAAAATAGATTGAGGATTCATTACTTTGTTGGTTACATGTTCACTAATAACACAATAGCGACATAAAAAAAACGAAATAAAATGCCATCAATATGACAACTAATCTCACTAATCAGTTTCTTATACTAAACTTTGTAATAGGCAAAAAACATATGAGTAGGGAACAGTGTAAAAACAATCAATGATTTCAAGATTAAACATTATTTTTTTACCTTTCAGTTTGGTGTCCTTTTCTTTTAGTTGTTTTGCAAGATTCTTCTTCTCATTTTCTAATTCAGAAATTTGCTGTAGCATCCTTTAAGATTATGCAATAATACGTATTTATTAGCCATGACCCGCAAGACATTTGCTGTAGTTTTCATGCCCTTCACTTGAATTTTCCTTATTCTATCATTTTTCACACATGCCATTTAAGCTATGCTTTCTTGCAGGCATTATGTGTTAGATCAATAAATCCTGGTTATTTGAAAACTTTCAAGCAGTCAAACAAACTAACTCATGTAGACATAACTTTATTTAATAAAACTACATGTAAAGTAAACGATAAAGTAAAGTAATGGTATTTATAATAGTGTATAGAGTATGAAACAGATATGAGTGTTCAGTGTATGACACATTTTTACAAGTTTAAACAAAGAAACTCACAAATATGAAGTATAAAACCTGTAGTAAAGAAAAAAGAAGCTAAAAGGTGTTTATAGCAGTCTATAAAATGAACCAAAGCTAAATTATTGCAAAGTAAAGTAAATGTAAAGTTGTAATGAAGGTAAACTTAGCTGAATATACAGCAACATCTAAACGAGTGTTCACAAAGTGATACGCATGTGGTACTGCGCGTGCCCTAGAAAAGTTTGACTAAGTAAAAAAAAAGGTAAGGTAGTTCTGAATTTAAAAGCCAATATGCAATCCAGACTCCTTGGACAAAGTCCTTTCTGATGATATGAGATTTCTAGCATTTGATGAAGAAATTTGCAATAAAAGTTCCGAACAGACAAACACAAGTATATTATTTGTATAGATTGAAGTGTTACTTATCTATAAATGAAAATTTACTGATAGAACACTCGAATATGAGAAACTATGTTATAGATTTTGAATTTATCCACAAAAGTACAGATATGTCTATGTAGAATATGACTGTTTCTTTAAAAATAATTATTAATAGATACTTCTGTCATTGGATTAACCCCCTTGGAAAGTTATTAAATGAAAGTACGTTTTTAAAGTTCATTGTTTGATAATGACTATATTATTTTCAATAACCTGATTATATATGACAACAAATCAAGCTATATGAGAATAACTATAAAATAAACATCTAAATAAACAGTAAAGGTAGACATACAAATCTTGTTTCTGTTTCATCGTCTCACTATGTCGCTGCAACATTGCATTCATTTCCAGAACCGAGTTGTAGTCAAGTTGTAGGTTTTCCAAACTCTTCTGCACAGACTCTAGCCTAAATTAAAAAACATTACAACATTCAGCAGCAATGTTGTACAAACAAAGTTTTTGTATGAAATAGGTTTAAAAAAAGTTCTCTTACAGAACACCTTTAATAATTTGTTATTTAAATACCTAAAGTAATGTCAGATGTCTATTCACAGTTTGTTGTTCATTCATTTGAAACTTTCATTTAGTACTGGAAATAAGTAAATACTGCTAGCTAGCTTTTTCATAAAAAAAAATCACACAGAAATGTATAATGACAGTTACTTAGGTTAGGCAATAAATTTAACTACTAATATTACTAAATCACAAAATCATTTATTCATATACAGAATGTGTTATGTTATCTTGGTCGGCCTAACAATACTTAAAATCTGAGTGGGTGAAACATACTTTATGATAAAGTTGATTGAGATACATATGTGTAAAACACATCAATTAGCATTTGAACTTACTTATTAACATCTAATAAAGTTACTTAATGCCAGTTAATGTGATTTTACAAATTGCATACAGTTTGTTATTTGTACAATGCATGTTTTGTACACTTTACATGAAAAAGGAGTTAAAATTTTAGCTAAACAAATGCATCTAATTTTAATTCATATTACGTAACTATCTTTGTAGTTTACCTTTGGGCATGATCTATGATGGCCTCTTTGTGCTCCTCTAGTTGTTGATCAAGTAAAATATTCTCCTGTTTGGATACTTCTAACTCATGTTCAAGTGCTCTTTGTTGCTGGACAGCCTATGATGTTAACATGTAACATAACAATGAAGATGGTGATATATTTGGGAACCATAACCACTAATCAACTACATATACTAAACTCCAATTTCTTACACCTCCTGAGGACTATCAGGTATCTTATATTAACACAATATATATAGCATTAATGTACAAGATCAACTACTACTTCACCTGTTCTTTTACCTCTTTTCCAAAATTGTTCTTTCAGATAGCCAAATACTTTTAAAATTAAGAAACAAACTGTTTTATATTTTAGATATTAGAAATAACTATAGACACAGTGAATGAAATGCAAATATACACCTGGAAAAAAGTTAAGCACCCCCAAATATTTTTCAGGATTGCTTATTGAAAATAAGGTTTAATTTTCATGATGTTGAGCGTTCAGGTGTGACATTTAAATCAGGTGCGTTTTTTTCCCCACGTGCAACTTGCTCCCTTCTTCACGTCCAATATGCACTATTTTCTCGTGCATCAAATCCGTATTTAAGTCCCGAATTTCTGAATGCAAAATCATTTTGAGTAAGAATGGCAAGAAGACGGAT